CTGTGACCCATTATTTTTGTTTTTGTATAGCCACACTGAAGGTCAGATATTGTTACAGAAGAGGCCCTAATTTAGTTCAGCAAAGTTCCAAGTGTTGCTGTATACAGATTCAATTTACATCACAATCATTGGGAAGAACAAACCAAGCCTTTCTGTTTTATCCAAATTCTTGAAGAGCAAGAACAATATATTTTTTCTCCCTGAGAAAGACTGAAGAATAAAGTAAGAATCCTTTACGAGCTCAGCTTGAATGATGCTTCAGTCCATTTTAACTAAGTATTCTGTAAGCAGTAAAATCTTTCAAAAATAAAAAAATAAAAAAAATCCAAACCCCAAATGCATTCCACATACACGTGGATTCATTCCACATACACGTTTCACTAAAGAAGGAGCAATTCTCCAGGTAAGTACTTGCCACTCCTATCTAGATCTGAACTACCATGAAGAAATCATTTTCTTTCAACTAAAAGCATCAGAAACAAAAACACACTCTCTTTCAAGAGCAGAGGTAACAAAACCTGGTAAGGGAAAAAAAAGTGAAAAGCCCATTTCTGACATTTTTCATTGGGCTTGGTTTTTTTTTTTTTTTCTTTCTTTTTCTTTTTTTTCCTGTAAGAGTTTTGAAGCCAGAAGAACTGGTAATACCACATTCCTCTACTACAGTTTTAACTTAAATTTTCTTCTTTGGCAGTGCATTGGATTCACACCATTTTAACACGGATAATAACAGCACTTTAAGAACAGAAGTAGTTCTCTCTGCCAAGATCAAACATATGCCCAAAGCAGAAACTGAAAAGCTTGTTTAGAACAGCTTGTCACAGGCTGTAGTACAGACTACAACAAAGCTCTTCAACTTTTGATCTGCACGCTTCAGTTGGGTCTAAAAAAAGCAAAAAACAAAAAAACAAAAAAAAAAACACCCCGAAAAACAAGAAAATGCACTCAAATAAAAGGGTTTCTTGAGCTTTAACAATGGCTTTTATTGCTTTTTTTGCTGTGGATTTGACTCACATCGGTATGTTTGTTCTGTTCCTTAGCATTAGAAGTAGTACTTAACTATTCGGAATATCAAATTCAGACTTTTATTCTCATTATTTTTCTGCTTTTAAGGTAAAAAAAATAAAAAAATAAAAAAATTAAAAAATGAAGATTTGAAATATATTTACAGTAAAAAAAAAAAAAAAAAGCCTGCTTTTCTTGAGTGTTTTTGTAAATCCAACTGAGGCCCGACATCAAAAGTTGAAAGCTGGGCAAGAAAACTGCTTGTAAGCTTGCAACAGAAAACTGCAGTTATTTTTAAATGAAGAACAGAACACAGAGGTAGAGAAACTTCTCAGTCGAAAAGAAAGGGCATGAAATAAAAGGTGCAGATGAGTATTCTGAGAAGAGGGAATATGTAGCTGGAGACTAAAAATTAACTATGCAAATTAGACAGAAATGGATGATGTTTGTGCTCAAAGGCATTCTTTATTTCTGAAAAAGCATTTCAGTTCATAGCAGAATGAAAAACGCCTTGGTTTCAAGCCACAGCACAGCAACTTACTAAAGAATAAATAAAGATTGCCAGCATTCCCATCAACACCGAGTCACACCTATACTGTAATGCCATAAAGCCTTATTAGGTTGTTCTGCTCCATAGATGATCCGTTTGAACCTTAAAGCTCTTCTGCACGTGAGATCAGTGTGGCAGACCCATGACAGGTCTGGTAGTGCATTAAGCACTTCTGTCACAAAGCAGTTGATGTGACAATCTGTAATTCAACCGCTGACAAAAACTGCTGAATTTAAACCTGAAGTCAGCCCTACTCTATCATGTCTGAAGTCTCTGCACATAAAGATTTGAGACAAATGCCTTAAAGTAATTAAGACTTTATTAGTCTCAAAACTGTCATTCATGTCTGTCTTCAGGTTTCAAATACTCTTAGTAGTTTTTAGGTAGCACTTCACAATTCCTTACTCAAAACTGTGGAATACAGTCTTACGGACAAAAATAATGAAAGCTGGTTTTTATTTGATAAAGTCTTCTGGAAGGAAGAAATTGACATTTAACATAATTAGAAAACAAATTTTGCAATGAAAACTTTAAGTTTTCCAATTTTTAAAAAGTAAAAACCATACTGAATGACACTAGAATTAACTCTAATATGCCCATCTCGTAATAATTGCCACTCATAGTGGGGCTGGCACAGAGCATGTGCTTTACAGGGTCTTTATTACATCAGAACTGAGGCCAGCATAAAGGTTTTACGGAAGAGCGATCAACTAACCATGGCATCACCACCTCTCCTACATGCAAACGAAGCTGCAATTTCCTTACATGAACAAACATGAGTTTATCAAACATTTCAGAAATGTATCAAGAATGGTTAAAGCTTGGAATCATAAGATGTGAAAAAAATGTCGGGCAAGATCCAGCATCTTCCTGAAAAACAGGTTCATGGAACTTTCATTTAAGGGAAAACCAAACAAACAAACAAAAAAAAGAGCAGAGGGACAGGGAGCTTTATAGCTAAAAAAAAATTCATCCTGTGACTTGTTTCAACTATGGAAGTAGTGAGAATAATTTCAAAAAGGCTTCATTTAAGAAGGTACGAGATGTAAGAGAATTTTGTTTAGAAATAGAGGGTCAAATCAGACAGAAATGCCCTGCCATCCATTTAGCACATGGACAGATCTGAGGTGCATAAATCCTTTTATAACTTCAGTATCTACAACTAATCGTCCTTTCCACTCTCACACTGATCAGGAAACTGTATTTTCCTTCTCCACTATAAAACACTGCTTAGGAGCTGTAAGCCCATACGAGTCAAAGCTCTCACATTTTTGATTAAGGTAAAATAAAAAGTAATGATTATTATTAGGGAATGAAAACAGCACAAAGAGGAGGTGGCATCTTACGAAAAGATGCAGATTTACATCAGTTGCACTCAGTCATGAACTGCAGTAACTTTTGCAACTAGTATGAGTGATACCAGTTTGATACAGTTGATACCAGTTTATCTCTTTTCATAAAACAATGCATACACACACACAAAACGCCAACAAGAACTCTTCAGCATTTAACCTAAAGGCATCTAATTAATAGTAATTAGAACAGAACCCTAGTTATATGGATCACATAACATTCTTTTTTTTTTTTTTTAATAGGATGCTTATGCTAACTGCAGCCAATCATCTATGCACCACAAATTTTAATATTCAAATACAAAAATTCGTATTAATCTGCATGTAATTCTTTTCAGAGTGTTAAAAGTTGATATTAAAATTTGTGACGATTAGAGAAATTTGAACACTTAAGTAATGACAGGAAAAAATATACTGGAATGAAACATTAGGAAAACAAAGCAGTGCTGTCCAGAGAAGTAACCAGACAGCTGACAGGATATCATGTTTTGTACCCCTCCAACAATTGTTCTTTAAAAATACATCACTCAGTAGAAACATTCCAGAGATTAAGTCTTGATGGTAAAAAGCTTCCATACTGTAGTGAACATTGTATTTTGTTTGATTACTAGTAGTTCCATATACAGACTGTTAGACAATTTAATTTATCCATCATTTTGTAAGTCTCAAAACTAGATCTGGAAGTTCCTTTCAGAGCTTTCCTACAAAATCAAGAATGAATAATAACTTCTGCTTTTGCAATGCAGCAGAAAAACATGTATTTACCCATTTCTTTTGCATACAGTAATATTCTTACATTTTTAAAATTGTCATTGATAGTAGAAATATAAAATTTCTCAGAGCTCACACTTTTATATTTCTACAAAGCACTTCACAGGGTTATGTAATAAAAAAAGATTAACACTTGGTAAAAGGACCACATAAGTATGAGAGAAATAACACATTAAATTCATCTCTGTTTATCTGCTTATTTTCATTTGTGAGTAAGGCAACCCACAAAAGCAGAAGAAAATAACCTAATGCCCAATACTGAGTCAAACCTCACAAAATACCTAGTTTTCTGAACTGAAGTGGTAGAAAAGTCTATTTCTTTCCACACTTCAGATTGTGATTAATGCAGGTTTTTCTTTTAAATATATATTTTTTCCTTGCAGTTCTTGACCATAGAACAGATGATAGCTGAGACACAGCAATGGGATTAAACACCAGCAGTTGAGAATCAGTCATCAAACCAATTACTAAAGCAGTGATGCTGAAGTTATATCTACACTGTATAACATAGCTTATGCATTCCTGACTGTTCTCTACTCTTTATAGCTGAATTGATTTTCTGCAACACAGCATTTTTTCCCCAACTACTCAGGAATTCTTCAGGTTATGGCTTCACTGGAACCCAGAATCCTATCAATGCTTTGTATTGCATTTAGGCAGCGTTGAATCATTTCATGCACAAAATTAAAGAATCAAATAAGACAAAAACATAGCAGTCACCTGAAACTTTTAAATTACTTTTATGTAAATTGTTTGCTGGCTAAAGGACAATTTCCCTTACTTGAGAACACATCTGATGATCTCCAAGACTGCAACTAAGCATCCATACACAGATTGCTTTAAATCAATACACAATATTACTAGGAAAAAAAACCAACACAACACCAAAAACTGAAAGCAATGACATGATTCATTCTTTTAATACCAATCTGTATTTCAAGTCCTACTGACAAACTCCACAGCTGCCCGAAAATAGCTCCAACTCCATTCTCTTTCAGAGTCAGAGTTCTGAAAATGTCTTCCAAGTTACCGCACTTTTGTTATAGGATAACCATTTTCCAACAGCCCAACCAACAAATCTTTTCAGGCTTTAAACAAATATTTTAAACTGCTTGTCAGCAAGGAGCAATTACACAAAAGAAACGTGTTAAGAAATATGTCAGCCTACATGCCCTAAAGGTTTAAAGACATATTCAGGAAAAACAGCTATAAGGAGACACTGTCATTCATTTACTTGCCACACAAGTTACGTCCCAGGACAAGTAAGGTTTCTCAATACTACACAACTACTTCACATTAATAGCAACAACAAAAAATAAGCTTACCGTTTGACTTTCAGGAAAATCCATCTTCAGCAATTTGTGAGCACATTCTTCAAAGTCTAAGCTGCAATAAGAAAAAAAAAAAATCTTCTTATCTGAGCAACATACAGCTGTACTAAAACACCCGAAAATCACTGACTTTTGTTCACTTGAAAATTTTGATTACAGCAATACTCACAGAAAAGTCCTAGTGCAGTAACTTGTATTATTGTATTGTAGAACAAAGATTTTTGTTTGAAATGATGATTTAAGAACCCACTGTCAAAATAACAGTTAATTTTCTACCTTATAAATCAAGTTCCATATGGTACTTAAAAAAAAAAACGATGCTAAAGCAGGATTTAAAAAAAAAGAAGAGAATTAAAATTCGGTCACATCAAAAGAAATGCAATTGCATATAAATTATATCATGTTTACCTTGACTGAATAGCAAGATAAATGGTACGACGGAAAGAAACCAGATTGATTTCTGTTTTGTCATGGACAGTAACTTTCTGGCCTATGAAAGAAACACAATTTGGAAATAACAAAACATTAAGCCATATTTTTTATAATATCTATGTATCTCTTAGAACGTATCTATTTTTATTAGGTCTGCAACACATCTGTGTAAAAATACCTTTTGTAGAAATACTTAAGATTTAGGCAGTATTGTGTTTCTATATTTATTTCTATCAAAGTAAAGAATTTAAAATCAATGTTCACCTTATCTATGACTAACAGGTAAATATTTAGAGATACAGCAGAGATACAGAAAGCCTCCTTTTAAATTTTCACTCTAATGTTACATGCTAGTATTAAACACTTAGATCTGGGAATAATTGCAGATTAAAGCCTCCCTTAACATTGCAGTGTTCTTAGTTTTATAAAATGTGCAACAGAAGTTCAAGCTTTCCTTTACAGTTTAACCTACAAAAAACAGAAAACGTGCACACAAAACAATTCCAACAATCAAACATAAGACAAAAAAAACCTCCAAAACGATCACCAGTAAGTTGCCAGTCACACACTTACCATCTTCATCCTCTTCTTCGTCTTCATCTTCCTCTTCATCACTACTTCCAGCCTCCTGATCTGGTTCAGACTCACTGTCACCTTCATCAAGGATTTCTGAAAGAGCAGATTAAAGGTGTACAGAACATAATAATTCAGTTACCAAAACAACAATTGATCTAACATCTGAGATTGAAAGGATGTCTCAGTCAAAGTAGGTATGCCACAACTGGCTAAAAACATAGCTGTAGGGACAATACTGAGGAAAGGGACAGGAGTATGTCAGAAAGGAGTACAACGAATTGAAAGGCAGTTATCTGAAAAACAAATGCACCTGCAGTTAAACAATAAGACTTGTAACGATAGTTGGGTAACTAAATAGCATACAAAATACACAAAGAACATCAACACATATTTTACATATAGCATGCACATATAACATCTAATAGAATACATCTATTATGTATAAAACATGTATGCCTGTACACGTACACATGTACACCTACCTTTCTTGAGCGCTTTGTATTTCTCTTCATTTTCCATAAAGTTGGGATCCATCTTGAAAACATCTTTAAAATAAAAATGAGTCTTTAAAACACGAAATGAAAATAAGGCTGTATATCAAATCTTCAGTCTGTTTTTGAGTGAAATATAATCATGGAAAATATTTCTATTTCTAACTTACTAAGAACATCCTCTGGGTTGTATTCATCTTCTAAAGGCAACATATGAGTAAACTGATCTTCCTCTTCCACTAGATCTAATCCCTCTGGAATGATTGGATGATCCTTGAAGCCATCCTTCCGTACAGCAAACATAACTTCTATCATGTACTGAACACGCATGTCAATTTTAGACTCGTGGAGAATGTGTCGAAGACGGTCAAAGATTGCTTTGGAAAAAAAGAAATATTTAATATGGACAAGGACTGAACATAACAGAAAACAAGAAAAGGCTAATATATTGGCTCATTATACTTACCATTAATGCCTCTAGGAGAAACTTCTGTTAGCTTGAGCCCACTCTCCTTAAGAAATCCAATTGCTACTTCAATACTGTCATCAGTAGGCCTTTCAAGAAGCAAGGTGAGCATTTCCAAACATAAAACCTCATGAGCCTTTAGAAAGAATATCAGTAAAGAACCAGAATTTACAATATTTCTTTGAGGATGTCACACCATTTGTTTAATCACACAAAGAAGGCAACACTGGACAAAACTAATTAAGAGGTTGTCAACATTTCATACACAATTTAGCTATTTATATTTACACTACCTTCACAGTGAACATGACTATACTTTTGAAATATGAATACATTCTAATGAACATTTTACCATTACTGAAAAAAACAGAATGCATTTATATAGACAAATAAAATAATACTTAGCTTACTAAAACTAGTTTTAGCATTGCATAGTCTTTCAAAATAACTGCAAGAAGTAACGTTTCAAACTGAAGTATCTTATACACCAGGGAGAGAAACCCTGGTACTTCTAACACAGAAGATGGTAAAACAAGGAAAGATACAAATTTGATTCAATTGATTCTGATCCTGTCTACAGACTTAATCATCTTTGTATGAGATTACAGTGCTGCAAGAAAATTCCATTTAGTATCTGCAGGAATTCATTTGCTTTCTATCACAAGCTATCAGAACAGTATCCCAAACATATACATAAAGTTTTGGGAAGCTCTCAGACATTAAATGCAATGGCTAGAGATGAGAACATCACAGCCATATTATCAGACGAAATCTCTTTTCTAGAAAGTCCCAACAACTTATAGCAAGTACTGACAGGAAATCCGAACTCAGTTTTCCCATAATTTATGGAAAAGGAGAAGTAAATTCACTTGAGCTACCACTGTCTTGAAGCTAAAATAAATAGAAAGTCATATAAAATATGGGCAAGTGAAAACAAAGTAACATACCACATTCTGATTCATCAAATGCGCAACGAACTTTGAAGACGTCAGACAGAGTTGCTGCAAAAGAAATAAACGACTGGAAACTGTAACATCTTACATGAAAGAAACACTTGTAACTGAGACATTCTATACTATCAATTTGTGCTTCTCAGTCAAATTAAGACATGAAAATAACTATTTTGGTATACTGGCAATTATTCTACCATTAGGACTGCATACGTCCAAGTAAAATATAAAAATAGCATCACAATTCCAAGCTGAAATCAGTAGCCAAGCTTTCACAATACACGAGTGCTACTTTATTTAATGTACACATGGCAGGTACATAATGATACAATACAAACCACAGGTCATGGCTGTGCACCTCAGAAATACCTAACTTGAATACACTCCGTACAAAATTACTCAGCAGAATTACAAGTTTTAGCATTTTGTTTCTTCACATTTTTTGCATACCTTATCGTTTCTGCGATATCCTTTGCGAAAATTTAGTATCAACCTCTTGAGAATCAATTCACCAATATTTGGAAACTTTGAATTAATAATTGCCACAAGAGCCGCATAAACATGGGTAAAAATTGGAGAGGCACCCTGAGCTTGCAAAATGGATCTAGACAGCAATCCCCTGCAAATATACACAAGTTTAAGAATAAAATTTTTCATATAATAAAACACAATGTTTTCACCCATTATGTATCACAAAATAGGATTGCACTGTTTGAATAGTTAGAAAGGTGCTATGTGGTCATTTTCTAACAGCTGTTCACTGCAAAACCCAGGAGGAAAAAAAAAAAGCCCTCAAAATGTGACTCTTTAAAGCACTACTTACTACAGGGTTAATAAATGGAATAGAACTCATTTGATACGTGTATAAAGGAACAGAATACTTGGTTTTAAAACTATTAGCTACAAATGCAAATTAAATTAGTCTGGTTATGATCATATTTATTGTACAATCATCATGATTTGTAACTGCTAGAATCATAGAAATACCTAATAGCCAAATAGCCTTTTCCCCACATTACAATGGGAAAGATGAAGGTGGTAAACAGATCAGTCAGTTAGTTGTAGTAGTGTTTTGACTAAAAATATTTACTTCAGATAAAGTCCAGGAACACAGAAAGAAATAGATAGACACATGTAAATTGCAAGTCATTCAAGTAAAGTCAATAGATAAGCTAAAATAAAAAGGAAACATGCTATCTGCTCTACTGTCTTATTCTTCCAAGCATGTACTCCTTCCTCCACCCCTCTGCTCCCAGCCCCTCTCCTCAAGCATGGTAGTCCTCTGCATAGGAAAATATAAGCTTTTAAAGTCAGATTAGTAACCATACACTAAACATACAGTGATGCAAGAATGTACAATATACAAATTTACAGAAAAAAAAAAAAGTTGACTTAATTATTTCAACATTTACCTTCCTCGAACAATATTCTCCTGAAGCAGCTCATGAATAATATTTTCTATATTAGAAACGTTTACTTTATTGACGAGACCGTTGATGGACTTCTTCAAGGCTTCCCAACTCATCCTCTGATATGCCAAGCTATTCAAAGGCATCACAGATTAGTAAAGCATAAGTTTGTGGCAGTGCTGTTATATATATAAAAATGCGAAGATGCAATATATTAAATAAAAAAACTAAGAAAATATTCACATCACAGATATAAAAACTAGCTCACAATTATACATTAAATGACTACAAACCCACCAAACCAACATGGCATGCCAAAATGTAATTCCCCATAGATGTGGTAAAACCCAGAATGTTTGTCTTTTAAGGGCATTAGGAAAAAAAAGCCTGTTTATGCTCTGCATTCCACTTTTCCATTAAGAGCAGAAGTGGAGAGGGTCATAGCCTGATTTGTTACTTTCATTGTTGTCTGTTTGGCTAGCATTTTGTTTTCCTCAGAGACAGGTGGAAAGAGAAGATGACTTAAGAAAAATGGCTCTCATTTTTTTTCTGATCAGAAAGGTATCTCAAGAAGCGTCCCACTTATATCAACGTTCCTTAAAACCCTTGATAGTTTTGTTTTTCAGGACGAATTCTAACGTTACCTTCAACTCACCTATTTTTATCAGTAATTTGTTCTTGCATCATCCTGAGCTTGGCAGGTGGAATATATGCACCACCTGTGCGAGTAAGGATTGGATCCACTTCTTCTTTCTTCTTCTTTGAAGTGGCCTCTTCATGAGTATTTGAGCCCTGAACTGTTGACCTCTCTGGACTCCTATGATCAGGGGAAGAGAGTCTTCTCTTCCTCCTTCGGTCATAATCTCTTTCTTCCCACTTTTCATAGTATCTGTCTCTCCCTCTCTCCATCCTTCTAAAAAGACAAAAAAAAGAAAAAAAGAAAAAGAAAAAAAGAAGCTGTTTTCCTCTTTTGTTGTTTAAAGTGAGTACCTTCATAGGAATTGAAAAACAGGTCTTAGTATTCACCTTTCTGAAGATCTGTCATCATAATACTCCCTTCTTGAATATTCTTGATCATATCTGCTGTCATCAGAATATCTTCTTCTTCTGGGAGATGGAGACCTGTCACGCTCTACATCCCTATTCACAAACCAAGACACAAAATTCTCAGTAAAAGGATTAGAGAAACTATGCTATTAATAACTACCTGCAATGCAATCTGTTACATACACACCAACAATTCCAATTCTGCACTCCACTCTTAGTATGTGCATCACTCAAAAACAAGATGTTCCCTTTATAAATTGTTGCCAGACAGCAAAAAAATAAAAAATGAAAATAAAGAAATCGATAGAATCACGTTAAAAGGAAGCACCTCCTACCATGTGGGATAAACACTAAATGTCAGTAACATCAAACACCAAAGGCAAGTGCCACACCGCATTTCTTGAAACTCACGTATTCACTTCAGCTACTTTTGAGGTGGTGCATGAAACAGACACCACTAAAAATGATTGCCTTTGGTACAAGATGCTTTATTCCAATTCAAATATGAAATATAGGTAAACTGCTAGTGCATCATCTCCTGCATCAGTAGAATGTGCTTCAAACAATACTTGTACACCTCTTGCTGGCCTCCATAATCTTGCTATAAACATCAGTACTGTTCCACAAAAGAAGGTGTTATCTAATTTCCATTTTCAAGATCCCTGAGATTTTAACTGAGAATTTTAGACTAAAAGTATTTAGTCTTAATTACAAATCTATTAAACTACTGCTTTTTATACACGCAAGTATTTTATTAAACCTGCAATTATTTTTCACAGGTGTTATGGTAGTGTATAAAATCATACTATATTCGGTTTTCACCTTCGTTGTTTGTTTTAATTTTTCTCTCCCTAGAAGGTGTGTACATACATACATACATATATATGTATATACATATATATATATATACACACACACACAGTCACAGGGAACATAAATCAGTCATTTCTACCTGTCCTCTGGAGTCAAACTTCTGTGCCGTGGACTGTATTTTTCTTTCTTTTCATGACTGGACCCATGCTTTAATAAAAGAGAAAAAAAATTCAACTTCAAAGACATAAAACAACTAGTGTGAACACACACACACACACATATACATATAGACATCAAGACATATGATGGCTTTAGCCTGCTACATATTTATAAGAAGCAATGTTCATCAAATAAAGCTAATAGCAGTCCGACTCATCACAAGGAGAGCTGCTTCTAAATAACACATACTTAAGCAGCTGCTACATGATACTCTAGATGCTAAGTTTTTATCATGATTTCAAGAGGCTGAACACAGATGAAAAATCATACAGGTTACTAAAAGAAATTACAAACTGGATGAGACTGAGTATTTTCACAGTTTACCCTGTTTCTACAGGGCATTTGCTATGGATTACTGTCAGAGACTAGGCAAAAATCAACCTTCAGTCTTTGTTCCTTTACTGTTTTCTTTATCCATACATCCTTTTATACTTTGTTGTATCATGTGCAACACTGTTTACAGCCATCTACCAGTCCTTGTTTAGCAAATGGCAAGTGTATCTCCCCTCTTCTAAAGATTCTTTTTTACTTTTTAATTAAAAAAACTCTCATTTTTTTTCTAACCATTGTATGTTTTCTCACTGAATCATTCCTAGCTTCATAAATTTGACATGTATAAATTTAATATACATAGTAACAACATGAAAAAGGTGGGTTTTTTGGGGATAATGAGTTCTCATGAGCTCTACAGCATTTGCCTTGGCCCAAGTGGACTAACAGAGACAAGGGTTCATAGGAGTAAAACAACGTTACTGATGTGTCTGTCTCTGGGAGTTCTCAGGTATCCTTGCAAAAGCAACTATTTTGCTGAATAACTTATTTCCCTCAGCTTTTCCTGACCAGGCTTCCTGTCACAGGTTACAGTATCCCTCCCAGCCCATTCCCAAAGCACCCAAAGAACCTACCTGGCTAAGTTAGTCATTTCAACAGGTGAGAGAGCACTACTATAATCACTTGGTCAAGAGAACATGAGGACATACCTATGCTCAATACCAAAGGATATTTGAGCATCCCTGCCAAAAACTACTTTGGCAAGAGAGGCTGGAATGTAACTAGGAGCAAAACAGCCCAGGCAGGGTTGAACACAAAAACCCCAAGAAAGCTAGTGATGAAGATGTCACTCAAATTCAGTAAAATTCTAGTGAAAACAAACGTGGTATTTCTACACCCCATTTTTTCTCATTGCTTGCCAAGAAATCAGCCCTCCCACCCACTCAGAACTGTACTGTACAACCTTTAAAGCTGAAGTTCAACTTCCACACTAAGAAACGCAGCTGACACAGTAACTTATACTTCCTTTTCTTCTTAACATCATCATTACAGTTTCAGCACCCTTTTTCCCCATTTGCCAGCCCTTATGTTCTCAGTTGAGCCACCATTCAGCCACTTTTGTTTTACTACCACATGCCAATAATGTTCAGAACTTCCACTGCAAGGACAGCATGCACCAGCCGCTGTAACTGACTGCCTTAACAGTAACACCTCTGTTGTCAACGGCTGCCATCACCACTGTCTGCCTTACAACAAGCGTTCTATTTAATACAACATCAACAGAAATCTAGCCACCAGCAAGAAGAGAATAATACACGACGTAAGCTTCAGGGCACTTACGTTTATTTGTGTCACCCTGCTCTTCATCTCCACTTCTGTTATTTATACAAAACTCTGAACGTGCAGCAACTAGAAAATCCAAAGCGGTGACCAGTTCACCCAGAACGTTTCATCTACAATATAGAGATGACAGCAAGGATTTTATATTGCACAACACAAACGTTACATTGCCGTGCCGCAGGCCCAGCCGCACGGCTCCCGCCCCTTCCGCCCGCCTCCCCTCCGAGCCGCGGCCCGGCATACAGGCCGCAAACGCCGGACCCGCGGGGCTCGGGAAGGGGCTCCGCCTCCTCGCGGGGGAGGGAAAGGGCAGAGAACGGAGGGACAACTCCCGCCATCTCACCTAGACCTCGCCAAGCGGCCGCAACCCCCACTCCGCACCTACCGCCCGCCGCCGCTGTACCGCCGCCAACGCCGTCACTTCCGGCGGAACGCGATACGAAACGAACGCGACGCGCTCAGGCACCGCCCAGCGACGGCGCAACGCACAGAGCGGGGTGCCGGGCTGCGCTGCACCACGGGAAACGCAGTGCGGTAGCGGCGGTGTGCGGCTGCCATCTTGTGCGGCGGGCAGTGGCGGGCGGCTGAGGGCGAGTGCCGTGCCGTGCCCGTCGGTCAGCTGTTTTGGTTTAAGTGGTCGTACGGAGCGTTCGGGAAAAACAAACTGAGCAAGCAAACAAACACAAGCACTTATTTCAACAGGAAATAAGTTGATGCTGTCATCCGAAATTTGGGAATAAACGCTTTAATAAAAGCATTCGGCATTTACGACGTCAGATTTGTGAGGGGGTATCTCCACCCTAACCGCGCGTATCTGGAACAAAAGAGCTTCAGCTTGTATACATTACCTGTGATACGTATGCAAAAGCTTCCCCGAGCAGTACGTGAATATTCAATATCCCCCCCAAATCTTTAACATAAGGTCCCACCTCCTTGCACATTTTGAGTGAGGGTCTCAGGACCCTCAGCGATGAAGTAAGCAGTCTTCGTGAGAAGAATATGAAAAATTAATTGTGCTTACTTGTTAAACACTTCACATTTTATTCACTCTCATTAATCTGGAAATACAGTGTTTATTTTGTGAGAATTCTCTTGGGACAGGGCTATTTGTACTAAAGTAAAACCCTTCCTAAATCCTGGTGATGAAAACAATGTCCTCATTGCGCCCTGAGGATCACTTTGCAAATCATGACTGCAACACGCTCCGCATCCGACAGCAGTGTTCTGCTGGAAGTGCAGTGAGGAGCTGGTGAGTTTGCAGAGCTGGAACCTAACAGCTGCAACCTTATGAACATTCTGGACTTAGCACAATGGCTTTGATTGGGGCCTTGCTGCCTAACCGCATATAGCCTTTTTTTCTTTTTTGCTTGTATGTTTTCTAACAGTGAAGAATATGTTTAGTTCTATAGCTTAATTAACCATAATTATGTGTCACTTTAAATAGGGCTGGATTCTACCACCAGGTTCTGTCATGTCAAATGATCTCCAGTGGTATTAGGACATTACATCACTAAACAATTTGAAATGCTATATAAAAGGTTTTAATTTGGAAGAACCATTCCTCCCTGGTATTTATTCTCACACTGAGTACGAAAATATGGATACGTATATATATAGGATACGTTTATATATATATATATAACATATACATGTACAAACACATACAAACATCATGATGTGGTTGGATTTTGATTAATCTACTGCAGCAGTTTCAGAGTTAAGCTGCCCTGCCAAAAACTGTGATCCCACAGAAGAATCAAAGAAAGGGAGTATCAGACCATGCCTGAGATAATTCAGCATAGCATTTTGACTCAAACTGCTTTAGTTTAAACTGAGATAGCAGTCTTTACTCTCAAACACTTGAAGTATTTACAAAGTGAGTATAAGCTTGGTCTCACATTTTTCCAAAGATCAGGAGTAATTTCTTTAAATTGTGCATCATGCCAGTTAAAAATACTCTGCCCTCCAGTGTTTTTACTTACAAAGTCATAAAAGTGAACTCTCTCATTTTGTGATCCTAAGAAGATATCAACAATCTAAGAAAATCCTAATCAAAACAAACACAGGGATGTTTTAAATAATTGGAAAAGTACAGAAGTATGTTTCTGCTTACCTCTAGCTTTTAATCACAGAATTTTATTTCCTCAGCTTTTGAATTTGTAGTGGCAGTGCCTACACAGGAGACTGAAAACAGCATGTTATCTGGATGTTATAACAACTCTGGCAATATGAACTGTTAAATGTTCTCACTAGATGTACCATGAACCCACTGCAAATAGAACATCACCTGCTGGCAGGGACTTGTGCCCATGAACTCTCAATGGTTTTCCATTCTGCTGGGAAGGCAATCTCTTTCCTGACCCATGCTGTGTAAGCAGGTGCCGTCAAATAAAAAGGCATATGGCATCAATGTGGCAGCACCATCTCACAAGAAGAGTTTCCTGTGGCTGATGGCACATGTACCATGACTCAGGCTGTCCCTCTGAACGTGCTGAGAGAGAGCAAATGGGGAGAGCTGAGCATCTCTTCAGAGGGTGTCTGAGGACAAGACCAGAAAATAAGCAGTCTACTTTGAAGTGCAACCACCGGGAAACAACTGATTACCCCTGAGGAATGAGCTTATGTTTGAAAGCAGCTGAGTGACATGGAGAGACCACATCCTCTTATGAATTACACTATTCAGCTTCTCTGCTTAAACACAGAATGCAGAGTAAGGGCCAGGAGAGAGATTCATTGAACAAGAAAGGAAAGGACTGTGTAATTCTGAATAGAATCAGTGAAGTGATGTTTCTCTTTTTCCTTTCCTAAATTAAGGCTTTTGCATTTGAATTACAGAGCGGAACCCTCTTCCCTTCATTGCTTTTCTGGCCTCCTCACCATGCAGTCTCTTCTCTGCAATGTGTTATGTAGAATTTCAGTTTTATAGAGTGTCTAGATTTCTGATCTGGGGACATATTTTAAAAGATGTAGGTATTAATTTCATGAAGCTGAAGAGACATTTATTTCCAAAGCCTCCAGTTTCCAAGGAAAGTTTTGAAGGGGCTGACAGCAGTGCAGGTTGGGCACTGCGTGGCAGTCTTTTTGAAGCTCCTGTGCTTGAGATCCCAAATGCATGGAGTCTGAAGCAGAGTCAAGACTCGTATTTCTGAGTTCTGGAAAGGAGTAAGGCTTTAGGCATCTGCTTTTTGTTGGTATCTTACACATCTCCTTACTCTGCATGTGGTTCTCTTCATTGCTTGGAAAGCACTCAGTTCTCTATGACTGTGGTGCATGCAACCACGTACCTAACTGTAACAACCCTGATTGCCCATGTTCAGAAAATAAATAAATAAGTAAACAAACAAACAAATAAAAAAACAAAGCAAAACCCAACAAGAACAACAAAACCACAAGAGAAACAGTATGCATTTCTGAGATATCTCAGACGTATCTACTGCCCTGTCCAAGTGCAGTAGAGATGTACAAGGTGAAGTTAGTTCTAAACTAGCTAGTTCTGCTACCTTGTTTCATCAAGCTAGTGCAGCACTGGGGATGGGCTAACAATACCGTGTTGCTTCTGGTTTCTGAATTAACTGATGTCAAGTGGCTGTATGTATATTTGGGGCAGCTATAATGAACATATAGAATGCTCCTCCCTCTCTCCCTGTCCATCTCTCTCTCTTTTATTTTTATTTTTTAAATCTGAGCAAAACAATACCTCAGACCTTAAAATAACTCCCAATTAATACAAAATTAAATACTGTATGAGTCAAAGTTAAAATATTAATTTGTACATATGGTAAATATAGAAACACAGAAAACAGTGATAATTCAACTGAGACTAATAGCAATTAAGCCAAACATAATTATATCTTTGAAACTTGCACAAAGGGAAAAAGGATAATGTACCCAACCAATTCATATTCAGCAGCTTAATGTTGTGCACGAACACTCCATTAGTAAGCCACGGGAAACATAGTAAAGTTGTTTTCCCACGGCAGTTTTTGTCATTGTGCTCAAAATGATACAAGTTAAAAATTATCTCATGCTACACTCCCTGGGTTGGCTCCTCACCTGGGATGAGCACTCCATCAGTTCCTACTCTTCTACACATACGGAATAAAAGTTTGCATGTAGATGCTCACTGAAAAAGCAACTGCAGTAGCTCCAATATCTGATTCTTAGTACAAACACTATTTGCAGCTAATAGTACTTCATTAATTAATTACAAAATGACTTTCCTACCAGCTTCATTTGGAATACAACATTTATACACAACTAATTCCTATTAAAGATAATCAGTGTGACCTTTAGCATGCTGTAGAATTACAACTTTGTGCAAGGCTCAGACTGTGCTTTCAGATAGCTGCTACTATGCATCAGGTCCAGACTGTTACTTCACACCTCAGTAACACAAGAAATTGCATCCTCTGCAGTTTCAGCGCAAGGTCAGATAAGTTAACTGAGCCAAGCCAATAAAGAGGGGATGAGAAGCAAACATGAATTTGTTCAGAGCAGGATGTAGCTGTGCAAGACCTTCTGCTACCTTTCTTTCTCTCTTTTTTTTTTTTTTTTTTGGCAGGGGGTGTTAGGGGATGATGACAGCATTGATGCTGGTTGTTACAAATTTGTATGTGAGAAAGAGCAAGATAAAGAAAGAAACAATCTCTGACACCACAAAACCGCTTCAGAGAGATCTAATGTCTTTGCTCACCATTACTTTTCAATACATACTAGGTAATAATCCTGCCCACAGCAGGGGGTTTGCAACTAGATGATCTTAAAGGTCCCTTCCAATCCAAAGCCATTCTAGGGTCATGGATTTACAATATTTCCTGAATGATACCTCATTTTGGTAATAAAAATGGGTAACATAGAGAAATACTCTTTTGTCCATGAAGGTACCAAGACATTCCCAGCTTGTTTTGAATCCTTGCCAAAACACAGCTATTCCCATGGTCTCAGCAGGAAGAGATGAGCAGACTGCAAACTTCCACACAGCTTCCATGGTGTGAAAATACATTACATGTGTTTTCTGTTACTTTTAATGATGCTCTCTCAGCTGTTTCTCATGTTAGTCAAAAAAGTGCATTCCTATGTAGTGGTGTGGACTGGTGGCAGAAGGAGTGCTGAAGGCACAGCTCTCCCAGGTGTGTGGTGTTTTCATTTCCTTACTTTCACTTGGTACTTACATACCTCAGAGGAACACCGGTGCTTTTCCACAGTGAGGAGTGTTCACCAAACCAAGGTGTTACATTACAGCAAATCCCCTGCAGGTGGAATAAATCTATTTAAAATATTGAGGCTATACGATCAATTGAACTATGTAAACATTTGGCAACTTTGTCTTCTTTAGCAACAAAAATCCATTTTTAGCACCCAACACTTTCAGTTACGTTTTGATTCCTTTTGTTAAACCCTTCTGATGTATTTTTACATCTCCATTCCTGTAATGAAAGCAGTCTCTGCTGTTCCGCAGAGCTGTGGCAGCAGAGCCCTCTTGTGGGGACACCAGGCTCAGTGCCCGGGGGTGGATTTGTGCCCTGAAAGCTACAGGACACGATGACACCTTCTTTTTACCCTCTCTGCCTTAACCAGGTCATTATGTTACTTAACCTGCTGCTCAGTGCTTTGAGGCTTTCTGTCCACGTTCTCTAATAAGCATACAAAGCTTCTTTTACTTAGCTCTCGATGTATAACTTTATCCAAATTTTACTCTTTAAATAGAATATGAATGTAAAGATACCAAAACAAAAATATTCTATGTATGTTGCAATATTTTCCTGTGTTAAGGACAAATTAACTATCTGTTGCATGCTCCTAAAACTTGCTAGATAGCTACGCCTTTCTTCAACTTTTCCAAACTAGAAATGGAAATAGATGATTTTCCCATAGTTTATCTTTTTCAACAGTTAAATTAAACCTAGAAGAAAGCAGATTATTCTCCCTTCTATTGCTTCCCTGCTCTACTTTATCTGATTATTTCAAGATGCAGCAGCCACTCAAGCCAGTGAAAGACAAGTTAGCACAACTATGTCTCAGCTACTGAACATTTGAATGTGGTGTTCATCTTTCATCTCCTCAGTGATAGAGAAGGAGAGATACTGTCTGACTGCTTGCAAGGAATCCCATGTGTTACTGAAGCATAAATACTTCAGCACAAATAGTATCATCATAATACACTGGGAAGGGCCTGGCAATATATAGTTTACCTTGTGTTTGGTGGGCCTGAAACATAAAAAACCTGTGCACTGATTAGTTCAGAATTTCTTCCTTGTTTTGATAAATGTTTTGGTCCTGATGTCCTGACAGATGAGTCAGATCTTGACAGGACACTGCACACCCCTTGGAGTTCTGGGATTTGCAGCACATCCAGCCACAGGAGCTCCTTTTAGAAGGTTGTTTGGAAAGATATTCTTTTCTGAATTGAAACAGAGTAACAATGCTGGAAGCCCACCTGCAGTATTTCACAAAGAACTTTGTTATATAAAGAGCAGTAATCTAAAAAAGAGGGGGGGGGGGAAGAAAAAAAGAAAAGAAAAAAAGGAAGCTGGAAAAGTACAGTAACAAGAAAAGAAGCACTGACATTCTAAACTGAGGTGTCTTTGTGTTAATGTATTTAATTCTTCTCTTAACAGCCACCCAATGTTGCATTAAGTGCTAGGATCTGTACAAAATGTGATGCCAACATCTTTTCTTTGAAGTGATACATTTGATTTGCAATAAAAAGTAGCTCTTCTCTATGAGAGACCAACCAGTTCAGGGTGGAAGTGATCCCAGCGTGTTCAGAATAAAAGAAGATGGCAACAACAAAACAACAAAAACCAAATCCAATAAACAAACAAAAAACCCTGAAAGCAAAAACAACCAACCAACCAAAAAAAAACCAACCAAACAAACAAAAAAAACCCACACAAAAAATGACAAAATAAAAAACCATCAGAAAAGAAAAAAGTCCCAACAACAAAACAACCGAAAAACCAAGAAATCCCAACAAGCCAGCAGACGTTACAGCAAAATGTAGACCTTGAAGGAAGAGTGTCGGAAAGGCTTAATAGATACAGAGAACATAGTTCCCTGGAAGGAGGCAACATCTTTATGAACAGTGTACTTGTGGGTATTCTCAATATCAGAATATATGTTTCATTTTAAAAACATCCTGAAAGAAAATTTATTTTAAGGAATTTTCATTGTCATAGAGCACTTTGTAATGTACTTGAACAAACATTTTCCAGACAGGTCCTATATGTTCTCCATTAAGTTGTTTAGATTCTTTTTAGAAGTAAGGATCTTATTACCATTAAATATCAACTATAAATTTAATACGGTTGAATTGTGAGCTGCTTCCTTTAACCAAAGGTTCATTAAAGTGCAATCAAATTCTTTGAGAGAAAAAAAAAAAAAAAAAAAAAAAAAAAAAAGTATTTAAAATAGTAAAGCAAATTGCAACATATCTGGAAATATTGTTTCAGAGAAAATGGAAAAATTATGTGTTCAAAATAATGTAAACAAATGTCAAAACGTTGATGCTCTAAAATTTTACTTAGAAAACTGTTCTTCAGAAAAAGTCACTATAGGAACCCCCTTAGAAATATCTTCATCATGTCACAAAATGTTACGTTTGTTAATTAACTTTTTTTAGCACTCCAGCAGACCTCCAAATTAACAGCTATTGAAACTATAGGTAAACAGTGGGTGCCTGACTTAATTAACTCAGGCTCTGTGTGATGTGATTTGTATTTCAGCAATGCTTGTTCATAACATGGGCACTGCTATTCCTATGGCATATGGTTCTTTATTGTTATTTCATGATTTCAGCTCACAGTGTCCTGCAGATTAGAAGGTCTGTGAGAACCAGAGCAAATATACAAAACAGAGAGTAATGCAAAACTGAAAGCATTATTATTTTCACAAAGGCTTTATAAAAATAACAAAAATATTTGTTAATAGGAGTACCATAAACAGATTTGCTGCGTGTCTACATATGCACAGACATGGACAGAACCCCATAATACTCAATGGAATGTCACAATGAACAGCTAAGAAGCAACTAAGCAATAACTGTATCAATGCCTAGTCACACTACATTTTAATAGCTGATTAATGTATGTATATAGATAGATATCCTAATGGTATTTCTCCTAACAATCTAAATTTGAAGGGAGACAACATATTCATTATATTAACCATACTTTCTACTTTGTATTGAGTCCTTGCAATCTTCACAGAGTACAAATGCTCATATTTCCTCTAATAAAGGCTTCCAAGTAAGCCTTGGCAATATTTCTGAACAAAGTGGAGCCACTGTAGAAATAAACTGGCCTTGTGTCTCATATCTCCATGGAGTTTATGAGGCAAAATGACTTCAACAGTGATAGTAGGTTAAAGCAAGGACAGGCAGCCTCCTCAATTAGCCTCCCAGAAAACAAATGCAAATACCTCATTTAACACACATACGATTCAGCAGTTCTAAAAAAGAGCATAGGTCAAAAAGAATAAAATTATTCAGCTTTATGAAAACATGTTCTTTAATTCTTACCTGGAGGAGGAGTCCTGCACATGACTGCTGTCACTCAGCTTTCTGCCGAGCTTACTTTGCAGATGGCATTGAAAAAAAAATCTCACTTGAAATGATCTTAAAATTTGAAGGTAGTCTGTCTTTGAAAATGGACATTTCACAAAAAAAAAAAAAAAAGCCAAAAAAAACCCACACCTGATCTTCTGTTGGTCAGTGTGCAATAGTACATGAAGGGTTTTTTGCTTGTTTGTTTGAAGCATTGGATTATAGTCAATTCGCTTGCATAGTAATTAATAGGTGGCCTGTTATGTAGTTCTTGTTAGAACCTTCTTTCAGGCACAGACACTTTAGGAACTGAAATGCATTCCCGCTTTTTTTCCAGTGCTCTCTAACAGACTAGCTGTTATTTTCTACCACAGCACTTGTTAGCAACAGGATGGATTTTTTTCCCCACCTTGTGCAAGCAGATATGATGAGTGATTACTTTTGGAAATCCTTTCATAAGTTACCAAATACATTGTTCCACTGCTTCCCAGCTTCTCTTACGAACAGCTTTTTTAGGTAACATTCATTTTTGAATCTGAGTAGTTTTCATAGCTTCACAACTTGCTGATAATCCTTCTATCACTTGTGTGTCATCCTCCACCATATCGCTGTGTATCGCTGTTGGAAATTCTGAGAACAGAAACATCTGGTTTTTCTTGGCTTTTCTTCCCTATTTTCTTGAGGAAACAGTGCCCCAGGAGCTCTTATTTAGGGAAGGGCGATTTAAGATGATTAAGTCAATTAGCTATTCACTGATCATCTCTAAATGTAAAAAAGTCTTCATAGAATTGTTTCTAGAGATGTTGGTTTGAAAGGCAGATAAAACACAGTTTATTTTGTTTTCCTTATTTTATGTTCAATAATAGAGAGTTTACTAAATGACAGTTCTTCTAATATTTCCCATATGGAGATCTCTGGTGATGAGAACAGCTTTGCTGGCATTTTGGAGGACCGAAGAGTGTGCTGTTTGCCAGGGTTGCATCTTTGCTGTTTTTCTTTGCAAGTTTCCTTATTGCTGGGCTAGTTTTGTCATTTGCCAGTTGACATCAGGATGGCTGGCAGCAGTCCAGGATACAGCAGGAAGCAATGTTTGTTGGTTTGTGGATGAGCAGAGAAGAAAGATGGTGTGAAAGGGGAAGAACAAAGAAAAAAATTAACAAATTAATTTAAATTTTTTTTTTAAATTTTTTTAATTTAAAAAATTAAAAAATTAACAAGGAAAAGCTTAAGTTACAGTGAAATCGTAAAAGTACAGACAGCAAGCCTATTAGCCACTCTTTCTTAAAATATGTGAAATGCACATAGAAATAATCATGAATATCCTCAAAATCTCACAGAGTCAGATCATTGTAAAAACTTGAAGTTATAACCTGGTGACTTATCACAGCTTTTTATAAATAACACACAAACATTCGTGGAAGGCACCACAACTGCTGAAAAATTGAGGAATTGTCCTCATAGCATTTTAACAAATCCAACATCCTCAAGGGCGGAGTTTTTAAAGCAGAATTTGAAAATTTAAAGAATGATAATTTGTCACTGAGCCTTTACATTCAGAGAGAGCATGGGGTTTGTGTACGGAGGGGGGGAAGGGGAGATGGCTAACACCACGAAAGGAGATTATGCCACTTGAAAAAAAAAAATCCAAATTTTTCAGTGAAGAACTGATTTTAATGCATTACCAAATACTTGACATCAACACCTACATTTGTTTCCGTAGCAGAAGCAAACCTCTGGTTCCCCAGACATTGGCGGGTTGACCTCAAAAGACCACTTCAAGTACATATAAATACATGGACAGAAACAATAGATTAAAAAATTCCTATCAGTGAGCTCCAGACCAATGTCAATTTACAATGAGAATTGCAGCATCTGCCTTACACGGCATCTACCCTGTAAAGCAGTGAAGAAATAAAATCCATAAAATGGAAAGGAGGAACTCCTTGGTTTTCCAGACAGACTCTCCCTGTCCTTTTAAACTACAGGCTGTTTCCAGGTCCTAGACCACTGAGAGCTTCAGAGGTCAGAAACACTGCTTGGAGCTCTATTAGGACACTAGACAGAGCCCTACAGATTGATAGATAAGTATAAAAGGTTTCTGTTGCAAGATCTATGCCAAAGGAGTAAAGCAGTAAACTAGATGATATTGTTTAGATTGAGCCTGCAGTCAGCCAGACGTGGTTATTTCTGAATTACACAGATCAGTGTGAATGAAGATAAATACAAGACAGAGAAAGTACCATAAAACATGTATACAATAAATGACTCGTAGTATTCCCATGTGCTTTCAGATTCTCAGGGGTGGAACCATGCTTTCAGTCCTGGGAGCATTCCTGGAATGAAGATTACTCTCTGATGCATAGCTGTATTCTATACACGGGAGATATCTGTGATGTATAGCTGTATAGTGCATGGGAATAATTCTAATTTCTCCATTAAATTTCTCCTGGTCAATTGCAAAAGGCATTACTTTTTCTCCTGTTTTTCTATGTGACTGTAAATTTGCCAAAGAAAATGCTATGGAAGAAAAGGAGTTCATGGTTGGGTTTATAACTGGTGTGGAGTGAATCTTATGAAATATGGGAGAAAGGTGACCTCTGCTCAGAAGACTGCCTGATTATTAACAGATGGCTGTAGTTTAATGATTCTGCTATGGTGCAAAGAACAAATCAAATTAGATGTTGTGCGAAGCTGTCGTTGCACTGTGTTTCTCTGCACAGTTCCAGCTTAAACTATGATGCTCCTTTCATAGCAGTACCTCTGATTACTGTATCTAATTCTTTCCACATCAAAGTGCAGTCAGCACTTTTATAATATACAAAGGATGCAGAGATAATGTTACAATGCATTCTCTTCAAACAGCATTGACTTGTACACTTGCAACATTTTTTTTGAGTTTTAGTAAAAGAAGATGCATTAAAGTGAGTAGCATCCTAATACTGAACAAAACCAGAAATATTTACTTAAAATCAAACCAAAGCCCTTCTGCAGGGATGGTGAGGATTTCAGAAAGTCAAGTCTTCTCAAGTGCTATCTCAATTATATCTCAGTCAGCAAATAGGAAACATTGTGAGTATGCAAAATGTTTGTACTTTAAAAAGCACAGAAGGCTCTATTTATTTACAAGCAGAAAGACTACAGTGCCTTAAAAAATCTTCAGTATAGTATAAAGTAATTCAGATCCCACTCCTTACATCAAAAGCATGGCGTCACCTAGTCACTAGTGCACAGAGAGATGGGATTGCTGTGATGATTTTACTGCTTTATGACAAAGTAAAATACAATCAAATGAACACAGGATGGAAAGGATTGAAAGGCAGCAGGAAGAACTTTGTAGGATTGGCTTGAACTTTGTAGGGCTTTCTCTAATTTTACTCCACCAAGAAAAGTTCTTCCTTCCGTGATACCACTTTAGCAGCTATGCATATATAGTCTATCCTTGTTTCACACTGTGTTTATTGGTCATGTTAGTCACTTGCCATCATCTGTATGTCACAGAAGGTAAGGATTGGCCAGCAGGTGGCAACTGCATTTTTTGTTTGCAAAGAAATTATATAAAATTTCAAAGATTTCAGACATGTTTATGAAAGAACATATAGCAACAAATCAAGAAATATAAACATTTTCCATTCATTTTCAAGGTTGTAATAACAATTTTCAAATAAGTTTTTCAAAGAAAAAAAGCAAAGCATAACTCTGAATAAGGTGACCACATTTACATAAAAGCAATGTTCAATGGGAGACAGAAGAATCGATATTTGGGTAACTCATTTTTTTTTAACTCTGAAAAAAAAAAATGAGATCATGAGAATAAAAGTTTAGGTCTACACATAGTATGCCTGCCAGATCCATCTCTGTCCAAATACTACTCACTTTTATCCCAGAATTATGAAAGATTTGTTCTCAAAATTATTTCTTCCTTCCTTGGTTGCCTTTCATTCTCCTGTCTTATTAGAATGTGACTGTCAGTAATGTGCCTTCGGATCCTGAACACAAAGGGAAGACCACTCAGACAATTATGTGTCATCTTACACACAGGTCACAGACTGATCTTGGCTAAATCAGCCTAAATCTGAAAAAACTTAGTTGAGATCAATGGGCTTACCCAAGCCTGAAATCAATTATTACCCTGCTGTAAGCACCTTGATAAACTCATTCATCTATGACAAGCTGAGAATAAAAGCTTATTCAGATGAGATCAACAATAAATATTAAGAATTTGTTTATTTTTCAGAAGTTCACTTCTTTTATTTGTTGTTTTTTTCCTAAGTTTTCAAAGTATCAGCTCAGCTTTGCAGTATGTTGGAAGTAACTCAGCCCAGTCTTTGAAATTGGGCGAATTCTATCTGCTTTTTTTTTTTAAACTGCATTATTATTTTTCTAGGGGGGGAGGGAGTGGAATATCTAAACCGGACAACTTTCCTTTTCCTGGTTTAACTCCCTACTACAAAGTCTGTATGACGTTACAGGCAGTTATGCTGCCTGCCATATTATCATGCTGCTGCTAATAGACTGCTGATTTTCTTCATCTGTGACAACTAGAATGTATCTGTTACACAAGTTCCACTTACTAGTTATGTTAAAACTCTTAAGTCTGAATGCTGAAGAGAAAGCTGCCATTTCCTTTATCACCTCTTAATTAAACTCCTCCAATTAATAGATTTGAAGTATAAAGATAGCAAATCAAAGCCAATGTTTCAGGGACATTCATTTCAGGTGATAATTTTGTATCTTTGCTGAATATTTCATAGCTGACAAGAATCAAGATAACAAATGATTGCCTTTGCAATAACCTGAATTCCCTGAAATATTCCAAAGGAGTCACTGGACGATGGCTAAAAAGAGATTAGCCCATGTGCCTGTCATAAGCTCTGTTTGCAAGAAGGACGATCATTACTACAGCCTCTGAAGAATGACTGGGGCTCGTGGGTCAAAACCGAGGAAATTTCTTCACATCGATATTACAAACTGAAATTCTGTGAATCTGTGGAACAGTGTCTGCGAGGGCACTGAAGGTAAGTAGAAATCATTGTTTCTAGTGTTGGGATACAAAAGGCTGCATCATAGCCATGCCCATAAGGGTTGTTGCCACACTGTGGGCCATCTGCTTTCAAGTTCTCAGGAATTAATAAACTCTTGATTCTGCTCCCCCTCAGCCTCCCACACAGGTCAGCCAAATCATGGAGTGTGCTGCTCTGGCATGCTCTCTCACAGTGGTGATACTTTGAAAATCAAGTCCAAAGACATCTATTTCTAATAGGGATCACATAATAACTAACAACTTGCATCAAGTCAGATGTTGCATAGCAGCTTTGAGATACAAATATCCTAGCAGATTTCACAAATCAGTACACGAGGGAAAAATATCTGAAAATTCTTGGGAGCACCTTCCGAAAATAGCATTAAGCTGTGACTAGTGAGCTAATTGGACTGTACTGGAGGCAAACAAGTGGAATTCCACTGTCATGTATGGGGACACAATAAATAATTTTATGGAGATTTTGATTGAACTAATCTCCCTTCCACAAAACTTTATTCCATCACCTTGATTCCATCAGCAGATCTACAGCATTTATTTTCTCCTGCTAGGCACAAATCTGAGATGGGCCCGATACATGTCAGTCAGGCATCTCAGATTATTGCTCATTATCCTTTCCAGCTGACAGTTTTGACTGCACAGAAAATTACTGATGCATTTCCAACATGGTGTCTTTGACTTCTAGTCTAGACCTGGCTAGCTTTATCAAAGACCTTATCAGCTACAATTAAGTGGTAGGCAGAGAAGCAATTTGTCTGAGTGCTCTTGTACTAGCTATAAGTAATAAAATAAAGGTTGCATTTAGGAACCTCCCAGCTTGTCAGTCACCTCACTTTCTGTAGATATGCAGGAGGAATGGGGACAGAAGCCCTTCATGGAACAATGTCTTTTACTCAAGTGAAATTACATAGCAAATTACGTAGTGCAGGTGTGCCAATGCAGAAGGGTTTTGTTGTTGCCAAATTCTGCACTTGTACATACAGAAATAAGAAATGTAATAGACTATATAGAAATTACTTTCCAGTTACTACGGTGATTAATCTGAGAAAGTACTATAATAAACATGCTGAATAATAATTATTTACTGTATAAAGGAAAAAAACCCAAACAATCTAGTTCCCTTGAAATGTCAAGTAATTCTGACTGGTACAGAAAGTATCTGCTGAGAGCAGTGACAAAACTGGAAGGTGCCCACGTTACAGAAATAAAGCCAATGAATTAAGTAACATCCAACATTAATATGACAAGCTTGCTTTGCTTTAGTCATTTGCCATGAGAAATCATCATAAAAAGCAGCTTTCACCAGATATTTTTTAGAACTGGGGTATGTTCAATGCTTTAAAAGGGTGAATGTTTAAAAGCAGCAATTGTTGCAGACTCTTTAATGCTGACCTTTTGATAACTATAGGTTTGGCATAGCCCCTGCTTTTAAATGAGAGTACTTATTTTGTAGCACTGGCTTAAATTCACTGTCTGGCTAGTGAGCTTCAGCAGGTTTAGTGCCTCTCTATTTTAGACACTAGCATTTGTATGGTATTTTCCTCCCCAAAGAAGTAAATTATTTATACAGCACCACCCTTTTTTAACCTGGCTTCTGACAGGCTGGGATTTTTGCAATCTCAGTTGAAACTGCCTAAATAATTTATCAAGTATTCTTTCAAAGTACAATGAATTCTGAAACCTAAGAAATGTTAAATGATGTTCTTTGCCCTTCCAGTGTGAGTGGATCACCAAGGTTAAGCTACTGTTTTTTTTTGAACTTTCCTCAGTCCTCCCATTGTACAGACTCCTTTCTCTCCCCC